TTGTTCTACTAAAGTAACCATTTTACTATAGATCATCATATAATATCATGTCATATACCTTAGACATATCCAATTTACTTTAAAAATAAAAATTTAACAAGATTTAGAGGAAAAAACATTCACACACCCATAACAGCCCCAGCACGCCTGCTGTCAGGAACATGGAATGAGGAGCCCAGACTGGGCCCCCAGAGGTGCTCACATGTCCTGAGTGGTCCACAGTGAGCGCGGGAGTTCATTCTGGGGACAGAGTTGTGGGCACAAGGGCATCCAGCTCTTCGGTGAGTGCCAGGAACCGCGTGAGGACCTGCGGTGCTGTGCTTCCCAGGGTTACCACTGAGCGAGGCAGGGAGGGTGGGGAGCGCACGCGGGAGGTGGGAGGAAGATGCAAATAGAGTGGGCACCCAGAAAGCCACACGCAGCAAGGAGAGCCGGCCAGCCAGCTGTGGCAGCCCGCCTGGAGCACGTGGGGAGACGGCACAGGGGAGGCAGGCGGGGCCGACACAGGCACTCAGGGCGGTTACGGCAGTGGCCACTGGCTATTTCACTGGCTGGAGACGTGGATCAAGGGTTTTAACCAGAGCAGTGTCATCAACATGTCACATGTGGGGGTGTTAGGTGGCGCAGGAGGTGAGAGAGGGTGAGACATAGAAGGCAGCATCGGAGCCCCCAGCCAGCCACGCGGGGCCGTCCCCACTCTGCCACGGGGGAGAAGCTCAGCGGACACCGAGGAGGGCCAGACTGAGGCCGACTCAAAGCTTCGCTCAAGCTACTGAGTTCGGGCCCCACACCCGGCCCCAGGCCAACGCACCTGGCACTTCTGCACCTGTCCAGCACACCCTCCCTCCCAAACAGCTCAGCAGAGGGCTGGAAGTCGCTGCTGCACGGGCACCTGTCAAAACTGGTGTCAGCACTGCACTTCCCAATCCCGGACCCCGACAGGTGGGAGTGCAGCTGTGCCTGCGTCAGCCCCCATTCCACTCTTCCCAAGGGAGCCCTTCCCCTGGCTTTTTGGGTCACAAACGACACACGTAGGGTTAGAATCAACAGCCAAGAGTTGTCGGGGATGATTCTGAGCCTGGCATTGTGAGATAGAAACAAGAGAAGGAGGAAGGGTGGGAAGGGACAGGAAAGAGGCGGGCTGCAGATGCTCACACCAGGCCCTCCTGCGAAGCCAGGCCTGCCAGGGTGACTCGCCAGCTCATAACCACTCAGCAGGTACTGTGGCAGGCGGGGTAACGCTGCTCCCAAAGCGGCCCCCATCCTAGTCCCTGGCACCTATGGACGTTAGTTTTCACGGCAAAGGAAAATTAAGGTTGCGGATAGAGCTGGACAAAGTGGTGCTGGGAGCCACGAAGTATAAACTGAGTCTAGAGGACATCCGAGGCTGTCCTTGTCCTGCCCTGTAAGCCGGCCAGGAACACAGAAACTTCCTGCTTTTTCCCGATCACCCCTACAGCTAGTGACGCTGTGGCACTCATAGGGCAAGAGAAGACCTGCTGGGGACCTCAGGGATCTCTAAAGCAACGTAATAGTAGTACTAAAAGTTTCACTTGGGTAAAGAACAGTTTCCTTATGTACCCTGGTCTCATCCTTGCAAAAATGCTTTGTTCTCTCACTAACTGTAATCACCATTACTGTTCCTGGAATCACTCACTTCCTCTCCCCATGCACTGGTTCATAAAAACAGTGGTGAGTTGGACAGTCTTTGTCTTTGCCTATCCTGAGGCACTGACCTCCTCGTCTCCCTTGTATGCATTACTAATTTTTTTTTTTTTTATTTCATCCTTTGCCTGCACCCCTCATACGGGCAGTGTGGGATCTTGGCCAGGTCCCCGGCAAAGAGCTGCATACCTGTAATCCCAGCACCCCAGGAGGCTAAGGCTAAGGCAGGAGGGTTGCAAATTGGGAACAGTCTGGGCAATTTAGCAATTTAGCAAGACCCTGTCTGAAAATAAAGACTTGGGATACAGCTCAATGCAAAGGCCCTGGGTTCAATCTCTAGTAAGAAAAAAAAAAAAGGCTATCTAAGTAATTCTAAAGGGATATTTTTCCTGTAAGAGAAACAGAAATTAAAACCTTAAATTTTAAAACAATAATGCTTTTCTCTAAATTGTTCTTAGCTGTGGCCTCCGAGGAAACAACAGCTTTAGCTGCAAATGAACCTAAATAAGACTAAAAGTGGTTAAGCTAATTTTTTAAAAGGTAGGTACAGGGGCAAGGGCAGGGATGTAGCTCAGCAGCACAGCACCTGCCTGGCAAGCATGAGGTCGCAGGTTTGATTCCCAGTACCAAAAAAAAAAAAAAAAAAACCACCAAAACAAAACCCTGTGGAGCAGGCATCATTATGTCCTCTTACACAGACTGGAAGCAGCAATGTTCCTGTCTTAGGAACATGTAGTATCTACGCTCACAAAGGGAGAAGCATATTTTTTAAAATCCAAACCATACGAGGTCCTGAGGTCCTGAATCTCCTTCTGCTCTATTGCCTGGTCTAGAGAAGTGTTTGTGTTTTGTTTGGGCTTGGGTTTGGGTTTGGTTTGCACTACTGGGGACTGGACCCAAGAGCCTCTCAATGAGCTACATCCCAGCACTTTTCAAATTTTGTTTTACTTTGAGACAAGGCCTCACTAACTTGCTAAGTGATTTAAACTTGCAATCTGCCTGCCTCAGCCTCCCAGAGTGCCAGGATTACAGGTCTGCACCTGCAAGTCTCATCTGTGTTTGTAAAAAGATGTAAGAATATATGAAGAACTCTTACAACTCAGTAAAAAAAGAAAAACCAACTCAGAAGAGGGTAAAGGATCTGACAGACATTTCTGTAAAAATATGCAAAGCCCAAAAGGTACCTGAAAACACCCATCTTTAGCCACTAGGGAAGTTCAAATCGAAACCATCACTTCATACTCACTGGGAGAATTACCAGCCAAAAATACGATTAAAACAAGTGTCCTGTTTGAGGAGGCAGGGGACCTTCACTGCTGAGCCTGTCCACTGGTCCAGACACTTTGGCAAACAGCTTGACAGTTTCCCAAAAAGTGAAACAATGGAGTCACCATGTGGTCCAGCAAATCCACTCCTGAAGAACTACTCAAGAGAAATTCAAACCTATCAACACAAGGACTTATTCACAGATATTCATAGCAGCATTGGTTACAATAGCCAAAAAGTAGGAACAACCCAAACACCCATCGTCTTAGCTACTTTTCTGTGGGTGCTGTGACAAAATACCTGACACCCAAAATTAAGGAGGGAAAGGTTTACTCAGCACACAGTTTGTGGTGGCTTCGGTCCATACTTGGTTGGTTCCATGGCAGAGTGGCACATGGTAGAGAGCAACAGTTCAAGGCGGTGGAAAACAACAAAAGCAGCAAGAGCAAAAAGCAAGGAGCAGCAGAGAGCAAACTTCTTTTCCTTCCTTACATTGTATGCAGGCTCCTCCCCGGCCAGCACTCACACCCATAATCCCAGCACTGGACCATGAATCAATCAAAAACTTGAGAAGCCCCATGACTTCATGAAGGTTTGGGAGGACATCTAGACACAAACCTTAACACCTATCACCCAATGAATGGATAAATAAATTTGGTCTATCTGTACAATGAAATATTGCTGAGCAGTATACAAGGAATAAGGTGCTGACGCCTGCTACAAGGATGAATCTCAAAAGGGTTACTGGGGAAAGAAGCCAGATACAAAAGACCACAGACTGTTGACTCCAAAACCATGAAACTTAAAAAACAGAATGGTAGGGAGAAAGTATAGATTAGTAACTGCTACGGCCGGAGAGAGAGGACCCGAGCCGTGGCTGCCAACGAATGTAGTGCTCCTCTCCAACCTGATGGAAAGGTTCTAGAATTAGAGTGCTGTGCTCCTTGTAAGGATACTAAATGCATTAAAAGCGCCTTTAAGTGTACACTTAAAACAGCTCAATTTTATGGTGTGCGTTGATACCTCAGTGAAGGGTTGTTTTTTTTTAAGCCAACCTGCAGTTCCAAGGAAGGTCCACACCAGCACGCGCTGCTTGAGCCTCCCACCCCCTCACCTCCCACCCGCGATGCCGCCGAAGGGGTGTGGCCGCTTCCCCAGCACTGCTCAGCTGGGGGGTTGAGAGCAACCTCACGAACCTCTATTGCACATTTAGTTCTTCTAAACAAAAGGACTTCAATTTTATAAGGTAAATTTCAATTTCGGGGTCCCCCTCCAAAACATTTTTGTTTTAAACTCATCGGGGGGAAGGGAGGGTCTTTCACGCCCACACCAGGCCTTGCCCGTGGGCACAGCTTCGGACGCCACTGCCCCGGCCCCCGGGCAACTCCTGCCCTTCCTGCCCGGAGAGGCAACCAGGGTGCGAGTCCCACGACGGCCTCGACCCCCTCCCGCTCCACCTCTCGCCCAGCAGGCGGCGCCCCGTTTCTCGTGCCGGGCGTGAGGGCCCGCAGCTGGGTGGGATCGGCGGCCCCGCGCCGGAACCTCACAGGGACTCCTCCCCACCCCCAAACACCGCGGGGAGCGGGCGAACGCGGGGCGCTCGCGGCGCGGGCTGGTGCGGACCCTTCGCCCGCGGGTGGCTGTCCCCTCGGG